CTTTACCATTGGCTGCTTTGATTTTCTTCTTTCTTTCTTTTTGGTACCGGGGATCAAACTCAGGACCTTGTGCTTGCCAGGCAGGCAGCAGAACCACTGAGCTAAATCCTTGGCTAGCTGCTTTGATTTTCAAGACAGGACTAAAGAGACTTATGAAACTTCAGGTCTTTAATTTCCATGTGTTCTATTTCTCAGTGTCTTAAACATCTGTGTTTAAGTAAATAAAAAATAAGAATTTCGAAGTGACTCACGAAGTCATAATGTAAAGACAAGCAATCTACCTTTTACCTCAAGCTTGCTATGGCAGACTAGGTCTGGATCTTTTTTTTTCAGCCATGTTCAGTTAAATTTAAGCATTTGATGTTTGTTTTGGTAAAGTTATGTTTAGCTGACTTAGTATTTATTACTGCCACAATAAGAATTATTTTCATTTATGACTGTTTTCTTTTTTTTGGTACTGGGGATAGAACTTGGGTCCTTGTGTTTCCGAGGCAGGCGGCAGAACCACTGAGCTAAATCCCAGGCTATGTGACTGTTGTCTTATTGTATATCTTATCAACAATTCTTCTGGCTGATTTTGGGTATCTTCTTTCACAGTGAGCTAATTAAAAAGATACTTTAATTCAAACAGCTATTAGAAAACATTCCATATTATGACAAAAGAAGAATAACAATAAAAAAACCAGATTCAACTAAAGTTATCTCAGGTAAGATGAGTTCAAATAGGAAAAAATTTTTATCCAATAGGTTGATTCTAAAGTTGACTTTTATAACATTGGGAGATGAGCTGAAACTTCAGACTGATTTGGTGTTGGAATATATAGAGTGCAGGTTTAAAACAGTAGCTTTTCGGAGACAGAGTAGGAAGAACAAGGTGGGCCTTGTTAGGATTTCCTTTAAATTAAGATGGGATCCATCAGTTGGAAACTGGATAAAGAAGATGTGGTTTTTCTATAAAATGGAATATTACTCAGCCATAAAGAATGAGAAATTAGAGTCATTCATAGGAAAATGGATACATATTGAGGATAGACTCCTAAGTGAAATAAATAAATCACACATGTGTAAATACTGAATAGTTTCTCTGGTATGAATAAACTATAGTACATAAGATCCTAATGATATAACGGGCAATGTGAAATAGGAAGAAATGGGCTAAAGGTGTAGGGAAAGTGGGAAGGGTAGGGGAAAGCTAATAAGGGAAAAGAAAAAAATATGAGAAAATGGAAATAAAGTGTTTGTAAATGGGGAGGGGAGGAGGGGTGGAGGGAGGACAGGGACAAGGGGAAAAAATGAGAACCAAGACCTGTCATGTAAAGGTAAAAGATCCCAATGATGAATGTAACTGTACTGTATACCTAGAATGTACCAATAAACTCAATGAGGAAAAAAAAAAGACGGGATCAAGACTGGATGAGGTGAAAATAGTGCTTCTGACTTCACCAGCCACATGGGCACCATCTCCCTGTCTGCCCTCCTAGATCAAGCTGCCCTCCTCGGGGCCACCCCCAGCCTTTACTGTCCCTATGTGTTCTCTGTCATCCCTCGTGATGCTACCTAGTCCCCAGTTCCCTCCTGCGTAAGTGACAGCAGCCTGCTAAGTGGTCTGTTTGATTCTACTTTCTCTTTTTTTTTATTCTACTGTTTTCATCAGTAATTCCACCTTTCATCCAGCTTCCCTGCTAACCTATCTATTTTTATTTTTATTTTTTTGGTACTGAGAATCGAACTCAGGACCTTACACTTGCCAGGCAGGTGGTGGAAGCACTGAGCTAAATCCTCAGGCTCCTGCTAACCTATCTAAAACAAAAATGTGACCATGTCAGTGAATAGCTTTGGGTGAAGGCAGACACCCTTTACCAGCCTATAAAACCTTCCATAATCTGCCCTTCCTTCTCCAAATTCATTTCTTGGCTCTTCTTTGTCCATCAAATTGCTCCTTTGATTATATCATTTATCATTCCTTTCTATTTTTGCTCACATTGGCCTGGCACCTACCCTCTACTGATTCTCCCACTCCCAGCTGTGTGCCAGCTCCTACTCTCATCATTAAAGATGAATGCTACACTCCCAAATCCAAGAACCCTTCTCCTATCCACCAGGCTGAGTGTTCCTGTAAGACTCTGAGGATTTCTCTATGGCCACACTAATCACATTGTATTGTAACTTGTCTCCTCATTATGTCTGTGAGCTTAAGTGGTATTTTAAAAAATTTAAAATTTTTCCCATGTCTATATCTAGTATCTGGCATAAAACGTACCACAAAGTAGAACTTTGGGGAAAAAAAAACTTTAAAATTTGTACTTAAAGAGTTGATAAAAATGGAGAAACTGCAGCTTTGTTTCATCTAGTACATATATAGAAAACAGGGCCATATTTTGAACAAAGTTTTGTAATACTGAGAACAAAAGAATTTCCTTTCTATGTGAATGCGAATAGTGTGCCAAACATTAGGTGCCCTTGGATAATACTTTTGCTCACTTTTTTTTTTTTTTTTGAGACAGGGTCTCAAAAACATGGTGAGAGCCATGTGGTACAGCAGGCTGGCTTTGAAGTCATTATGCAGCTCCAGCCTGGCCTTCACCTTGTGGTCTTCCTGCCTCAGCCTCCTGAGCTCTGGGACTATAGGCATGCACCACCACTCCCAGCCTTTTGCTCAGTTTTTGAAGAGCATTTGTTACCTTGCTGTTAGAGGGTCATAGGTCATTTCTAGGTCATATTGTGACTACAAATCTGAAATCTTGATATGAAAAGATAATGAAGTTTGATTCCTGAATTAATATGCTGGGGCTATTCACAGAACAAAAATAAACAATATGAAAAAAATTTACTGAAACAAGAAAGGATTTTTATGCTCATCAAGCACGGACACATGAACTAGCCATGGGTAGTTAAAATGTTGTGTCTCCCTGTCAGAAGTGATTAGTTTAGGAATGGATATGTTAGTCAAGCCTAGCCAGTGATAGCAAATTCAGCACTTCAATTTTAAGAGCTGGAAAGAGATGTACCCTTTCCCCAGGGTTTCTTGGAAGATGTGTTCTGAGCCTGGAGCAGCTGGCTGCCATCTGCCATTTTGCTCTCAGGAAGGGAGAGGCTGCCTAACTGCACTGCAGGGGAGAAATGCAGGACCCACAGAGATGGGGCAATAGTGGCTTAGTTGGGTTACTTTGAGCCACTGCATTCAGCCATGGCTAAAGCTAGGCTTACTGTCTGAGTGTGATCTAATAACCCCCTTTTGCTTAAGTTAGTCTGAGTCTGGTTTTCTGTTACAGCTGATCAGAAACACTTTGCTGAATACCACAATCTTAAGAATAATCAACACTCATGACCAAAAAGGGGGTGTCTTCCATGAATGTCAGCTTTCTACAGCCAGTTCTCTTGTGAGTGACTTTTCCTGGATGGTGAGACAACCTTTTCATGACCCTCACTCATGCAGAAAGTCAAGAATAAAGAAGCTTTTGCCTTTTTTTGATCAGTTGGTTCTAGCAGAATCCAGCTAGACTTCTTGCAAAAATTTCCACAGACTCTGGCTTTTGCCTGGGCCTCTTCCTGCCATGCAGGGAAATATCTTGTTTTGAGTAGTGAAACTCTGACAACTGACAATTTTTTTGCTGCAGTTTTCAAGTGCCTTATCTCCTGATTTTTCTCTCAGTTGTTTTATTTTCTGTTCCAAACTCCCAGGGTTAATTTAATATAAAAAAGAACTTCAATTTATTTAATCTTTCTGTGCCTTGGTTTGAAATACACAAATAAAGACCTAACTAGCTGATAATAATAATGCTCTGTAGTTATATCTATAGTATTTTTATGTTTGCAATCTCATTTTATCTTCCCAATAATCTTTGAGGTAAATATTGTCTGTGAGATCTTTTAAATCCTTAATTCTATGTTTCCATATCAACAATTAGAAGAAACATATTTTAATGCTTTCTAGAGAACATGAGCATTTAAAAGGGGTGATCAAAATATATAGTGAATGTTTAAATGAAGAAAACCATTACAGTAAGAGACACTCAAAACACTCCCTCTTAGAATGAGCTTAGTGTATTCTTTCTAAAGCAGTTCTGGAAGTCTTCTTTTGTGAGTGTCTTCATAACATCTAAAGATATGGTGAATAATGGAAAGATAGACTCATAAAAACTTTAAAATGTGTCCTCATCCACCTTATGCAACGAGAAATTGCTACTCATGGAGACGGAGCAACAGGCCAGGGGCAGGATGAGTAACTACCTTGGAAGAGCTCTAGAGGGAGGAGCCACCCTGCAGCAGAAGCAAGCGCCTGGTGGAGCGCTGTGACAAACCTCCTGGCTCCCAAGTCTTTTGCATCACTTGCCACAACTCCTGAAGTTCTACTTTGTGTCACCCTGGGCTTTGGATTTTGGGGGTGTTTTGCCTCAAAGCCCCTAAAACCGCTACTTATGAGCACCAGGAGACATCAGGTAGAGTTTAGCTTTACAGGAACAGGATGAAGCTAAATACCTGAGTCAGCGAGTCAGGAGGCAGAATGCTCCAGAAGGCGGGGAAAGATGGTCACAATGACAGCTACAGCACTCGAACCCACTTCACAATCTTTGAGCAGCCTCAGGAACAATCAATTTTGCCATAAAAATTCCACAAAAATTTTCCCTTTTCTACTGATTTTTGGGGGGTTAGGGAGAGGTTTATTACTTGCTAAATTTACCTATGCTCTCTTCTTTAGGTTACTTAGAAACCGTGGAATCTGTTTCCCACAAATACATTTCTTCCCATTCATGTATTTCTCCAAAATCAGATGCATTATCAAATCTAATAAAATTATTCTAGAGCTGTGCATAAATGACATCAGAACTCAATGCATTTAAGGGTTACAGTATATAGGGACAGATGGTTACATTAAAACCACTGGATAGGGTCTGACTTGTGTACTAAATACAGTGAGAAGGCCCTCCGCCCCCCCCCAAAAAAGGGTAGATAGTGATTGAGTTATTTGCTAAATATTGAAGATTAAAAAAAATCCTTACCCCATTTGGGTTGTTGACCCCAGAAATGAGGGTATACAGTAATCAGCAGCAGCCAGTGTGTATGGTGGTCGAGCGGCAGAATCATCCCAGTAAATATCCTTCTTCATTTTAGGTAAGCTCATGTGCATTTCATCCACAGCTAAAAGAGAGACCTAAAATCATTGTCATATTGTTAGAATAGCTCAGATGTGAGTTAGACAGAAGAGAGGAATTTCCAGTAGGTAGACAGGAGTTGGAGGGTGACAAGACAGAATCTAACTGAAGAAGTATACAAATAAATGCCTACAATACCCACTCGCCACACCGGGGCTGCTGTGGAGTTGTACCTGTTGTTCACTGTTCAAGAGCCCTGGACCATAGTGAAAGTGGGGCTGCAGAGCTGCTCACACTGTGTGCATAGAGCCGCACCCCTCAGTGTGGGCCTGCATCTCACCTGGAGGCAAGTGAGGCCCCCTTTCTTTTGTACTCACAGCTACAGCACTGTTTTAGTGGCTACCTGACAACAACCACTTCACTCCAGGGCAGGAAGGTGAAGATTCTCATTATTTCACCTCGTTAACCCCATAAAAACACAACCACTTTTTATATTCCCTAGTTTCGGGTTTATTTAAAAAAGCACATCATCAAGCCCATACTATTTGAATATATAGTGATCTTTCCTCTTGGCTTGGACAAAGTGACATAGGAATAAATTATTAATTCTCTCAGACTCAACTTGTAACAAACAGAGTGAGTCTTCTAGGCATTACCCTTCTCCCCTAATAGACTGACAATGTGATATACAGTGAAATGTTTGAACCTAAAACAAATGGAAGGTGAAGTGAGGAGGTGAAGTGAGTCTTGCCCAGAAGGAAAATTCCCTTGTGCCAGTTCTTCATGGAAAGCTCAATGGAACAGTACTTTGGGGTAATGGGGTGCATTTCAGGCAGATTTGAGAAACAGTCCAATGTGGCCCAGACCCAGTGTCCAGCTGTTGGACATCTGATTGCTAGAATCTATGTGCTATGAGTTTAGGATTGTACCTGGGTGCCATTTTATGTCACATAAACCCCTCTGGGCAGCAACAGAAAACAGGTAAAATAATGAGCTAAAATATTTCACTGTCCTAGAAGGAAGAGGCTGAGTAAAACTAGTGGAGAAACAGAGAAAACTGACTTGAAATTCTACTTAAATTTTACAGGAACTTAGATCCAGGACAGGTGAGCCTCCAAGAGGACAACATGCTACAGAGCTAATCCTCTTTCATTTGTAGCTAAAAGCTCTGATGCTTGGGGCCTGAATCCAGTCAGTTCAATTGGAAGCATCACAAATGGTTTACTGTTAATGTTTGTAAAGGAGAGAAAATTTCCTCTAACCTGCAAATTTCTATCAATGCACCAGTTAGTTTCAAAATCATCATCGTCTTCTCCAAAAGGGTTGATAAGTTGCTCGGCTACCTGCAGTTGAGAACACAAAAGAAGTCATCATGCTGACCAGGGCCTGGGGATGATGGTCGTTTTATTCTCTTCTTATTGTGTCACTTTCACACTGTGTCACTAGAGGAGAGAGTGTTGTTCTATAGGCAGATATTTATTAGCAAGTGAGCCTTGATGCTTTCACCATAAATGATGCCCAGATGGTAAGACAAGGCTAAACAGTAAAGAAAGACTTAAATCACAATTAAAGAAAACATAAGGTAATGTTACAATTATTAGACATAACTGCTAAGTTAATAAGTCATACAGTTAGTAATTCATCAGGCTGGAAGTCAAGGTTTATTTTACCCGAAAGAATTTATTTTTATCCAGTTAATTTTCCAATTGGGAAAAGTTTAGGTAGCTTCTTATCACACATTTGTTTTTAAAATTTTTTACATACTTTTCTCATATTTGGTCAATATTAAATAAACTTCTTATGTTCTTGCACTGAATAGTCTTCTTGATGAGAGCTTTAAATGTTAGCCTATCATCCTGTCATTCACTGCTTTGAATAATTTCCTTTAATTTTTATTATCTCTGTATCTGTGTGTGTGTGTGTGTGTGTGCTTGTGTGGGTGTTTGAGTGGGATATTTTACATTAGATCTAGGTGGAAAAAACTTATTTGTAAATAATAAAGTTATCATTTGAGTGATTCCCAAATTATAGATTCTGAGATCATTTGGTAGAAACTCTACTCTCTTAGCTTTTAGGATTTAAGTCAAGTCACTTAAAGCAGTTATTTTCAACCTTGGCTGTACCTGAAAATCACTTGAGGAACTCTTCAAAAAAAGAACAAAAAACAAAAAACTTAACAACCAAAAACCAGATACCTGGGCCCTTTCCCTAGTGGTTCCAATTTAATCTGTGGAAGCTGAACCACATATCAGTAATTAGTTAAAGCTCTCAAGGGGTTTTGAAAGTGTGGCCTGAGTTGCTGAGCCACTGAGAGAGAGACAAGGTGCCTCTGCTTGTTCTAAGGGACAGCTCCAGGCAGGGCTGTGCCCCACAGCAGTGAGCCCCAGGGGGATAACTATGCCAGTCCTTCATTGTGAGCTGAAAGAACCTACCTTTTATTCCCCCTTGGAATTTTGCTTAGATTAAATGTTATATCTAAATTTTCACTTTTATGGTATGAGTCCTGTGTGTATTACTATAATCTTATGTTCAGTTATTAAAATGACACCGACATTTGTGAATTGATGATCTCACAAAGATTGTGGAGCAAGTAACTGAGTACTAGACTGTTCAGAAAGTAAAGAAGGTTCTGCCATACTTTGCAAAGATTTGTAAATGCAGTGGACCTTCCAGATACGTCTGGCCTGACTATGAACAACTTGGGTTACGACTGGAACTTTAGTTTTAACTTAAGAACTAAGTCTTGAGTTATGACTCAAATGCAGGCCACTTGTGGTTCTAGAAGGTCTCAGATACAGATTTAACTCTTAAAGAGTTCTGGAAAGAACATTACAACATCCATTCCTGTGTGAGGTTAATTAAATCCTGGGCTAATGTCTCTCTAAGGACACTGAGATCTGCCTGTACACAGGAGAGAGGATTGGAAGGCTGTGTAGAAGAGCCTGAGCTTCAATTGACCAACTTGAGTTACAACCAGCCCTCGAGAATGAATTGGTTCATAAGTCAAGGGTCCACTGTACCTGAACTGCCAGGATAGAACAGCTCTTTAAAAGTGAAGACACAGCTCATTTGTTTGGGAAACTCACATCTATAAAGTTTCCTATCTCCTAGTAGAGCTACAACTTTGTCGTTCATATTTTACCTTTTCAAAATATTTTATGAAGGAAAAGGATATTAATATTTTAGAAACACGGTGGAAGAAAGGAACAACTAACTACAACTGGCTTAGGACCTTTTTTTTTTTTTTTTGACTGAGCACCTTACATGGACATAAAGCAAATAATTAAAAGCTTAACACAACTCAAAGAAGAGGGGAAAGTTAACATGCTGAGCATTTGAGCCAACTGTGGTGATACTATGTTTATAAAGGGCAAGGCTACTTTTTCCTCAAGTGGGAAATGAGAGTCAGTAATCTGTCCTACTTTTTCTTTCTCGTGAGTAAAAATAATTAGTAATTATTGTCATCTGGTTAAAAATTCTTTGCCATTTGTAAAGGATATGCCTTTAGTCTCTAGAGTATAATTTAAAATGCCAACATATTTACTTTTCAAGATGAAGATTCAAGCTAATAAAAGGAAAGGCTTCTGAAAGGACAATGTGGCCACAGCATGAAGGCAAGACAGCCCATGGCAAGGCCTTCCGTTTAGAAATTCTATTTTGTTAGTTGTCTTCAAACTGTCATTAGATTTCAGTTGGCAAAGCCATGGCCTCTAACTCTTCTTCCCCACTACATACTTCCCTTCTAGAAGTGATGGAAGAGTCAGGCTTCTGGTGTTTATACATGTAACTGGGTTTGGGGTTGAGAGGAGCAGGGAGGTGGTGGTGGTGGTGGCTGGGAAACAAAATTCTACCTTGATAATTGTATAAACTATTCTTGATGTTCTGACCTGTTTTTAAATTCCAGGCAACCCAATAATCATTATTAATCCTGGTGTTTTTAGTGTTGATTCTGATGGATTCTTTTCTGAGTCTCTTTTCTTGTTTTGAAAATGGGACGCATTTAATGTTGTGGGACAGCTAGTAAGATTGCAGAGTCCTGCAAGTAACAATTTACAGGACCAGGCAGAACCAAGATTCTACTACAATATTAATGCTTAAATTTGATACCCAAGGCTTCTTCCTTACTGTCTTTTACTCCCTTAGTTGCTTATTGTGGCATGGAAAATATCAATGCAGTTACAGATATTACTTTAACTACATTTCTGCAATGCTAATGGGAGCACATGGAGACTTTAAAGGAATCAATAGCTATAAAAGAGTGTTCTTCTAATTTGCTTGCATAATGAACTGCTTCAGTCTGCTGCAATACAGTTTGACTACATCTCTGTAATTTTCATTCTTGACAGAAAAGTAATCACATTTCTGAGCTATTGCATGTCAAATCTACCTTTGACTCACTCATGAGCGATTTGCTAAAGACTTAGTAAGGGTCAGCATGGAGAATTTGGAACACGATAGATTACAAGAGTGGGCCTCAGGCATGGGGACTGTTGGCTACCTTCAGCCATCCCGCATAGAAGAAGAACTGGAGGAGAGTAAAGACTGGAATGTAAAGATCTAAGTCATGCCCTGCGTAGCCTTTGGTGGGATCCAAAAACTGGCGTCCAATGAGGCAGGCGAGGAAGAAGGTGTAGACAGCAAGAGTGACAACCTGGAACAGAGAGAAACTGGCATGAGTGCTTGGTGCTGCTGTCCACAGGCAGCTTGAGTGCTAGGAGGGCAAGGAGAAATAACATGTTGCATGCACAGCATCTGATACCTGGGTGTAAACCAGCGGGATTCCGACCCAGTCATAACCGAACAAGAGGCTGCACCAAGAGCGGTATCGATTCATTTCCTATGCCAGAAACAGATAAAAGGGGATTTACTGAAATGATGGGCATGGTAATAAATACTGACTGGGATTGAGGCAATGTCCAAAATGATGGTACAGACTTTCTAAGACTAGAAAAGTGCCTCCTAAGGCTACTACAAAAGAAAGTTCTAAAAATGACATGCAATGAGCATCACTGAACAGTGTGCAAAAGAGTATGAACATTTAGATATAATACAGTACTTTTCTTTTTAAACTATTAAGACTGGATGTTATAGAAATATTACTCTATTGAATCCATAATTTCCACCTTTTATATTGGCAAAAAAATGGTGACAAGAATGCAATGATTAATATTTAAAATAAGCAATTTATAGCTCTTTTAATAGAAAAATTTGGAGAGCATTTTTCTCTCTTAGAAACATGCTTATACAGATCTTATGGAAGAGATTAGATATGTCTTAAACTCCCTCCCCTTACAAATGGGGACTTCAGACTATGCATATTTATAGAAAATCTATCTCTCCTTGCATCAGAAGGACTGAGACTCACTGATTCTTTTCCTCTATTGAATGTAATTATTACCTAAGATTGGGATGAAAAATTCAGCTTAATTTGGGTGCTGTTTTAGCCATCAGGCTAAAACCATTTAGCCTTTTAGCCTAGCTCAGGCAGTAGACTGTCATGGCACAAATATATGTACCCCTTTTGGAATTTGTTTCTTAGATGAATTCAGCTTTCTTTCATTCCTTTCTCTTTCTTTTTCCTATTTCCTCTCTCTCTTTCTTGCTTTTCCCCTTTCCCCTTCCTTCCTTCCTTTCTTCTTTCTCCCCCGCTTCACCCCTTCTCTCCTCTCTCTCTCTTTCATTCTTTCTCCCTCCTTTTTCTTTCTTTGCCAGGGATCAAACTAAGAGCATCATATATGCCAGGCAAATGTTCTACCACTCCCTTAACATCCTCAGCTCCAATTCAGGGTTCTTTTGTTTAGGGAAAATATTCTTGTTCAATGAAGCACCTGAAATGTTGATTTAAACTTGGGAGAATCCAATTTTTGGGAAATAGCTGAGGAGGTTTTTTCTTTCTGTGCAGATTTTATTTTAAAATCCTGAACCTGGGATGAAATATATGCTGTGTGGGCATTGTACTCTTCAAAGATCTTGGCAGTCTGAGGTTAATCAATCAAGGAACAGTACTTGCAGAGCCTATTAAAGCGTTCTGTATAAAACATAGCTTCCTAGCAATTACTACCAAGCAATCTGAGTTCAACCTATGCATTGTGTCCTGCACATTGTACATTCTGACACTAGCAGCTTGATCTTTCTGTTCCTTTGGAAGGAGAATGAACCAAACAGACTTTTCCTGGCAGACCTGTTATATCCAGGTCCCTTGTGGGAGATAGCTAATATCTTACTGATGATTTGTGATGTACTTACAGTCATTAATGATTGTAGATCAACACTGTCTCTGATTCTACCTTCATCCCGGGCTTTAGCTGCGAGATTTCCAAACCAGATGAATGGAACCCAGTATTTTAGATGAGGAGATTTGTGATGGTCAAATAATTTCCTTTCATCTGCTGTCATAAAACCTTATACAAAATAAAAACAGCTAGATTATACAAACTTAGATTAGCACTAATACATTACCATATTTTCAGTCTACAATGGAAAGCTATGGAGGGATACTAAAGAAATATAAAGGTTCCTGTCTCAAGTAGTTTATCCCGAGATTCTGATTCAGTTGTTTTAGGGTGAAGTCAGGTTTCAGCATCCTTTTAAATCCTCATGGGTGATTTAATGGAACTGGATTCTGGCAGCTGAATGCTTACTGAGTTCTGTAGGAAACTCTGACATACCAAAATGTTTGAAAATCACTGCACTAACCAATGAAGGTTCTGTTTATTCAGTATTTGAAGTAAACAGATAAACTATTACAAAGCCAATATTTACCATATGGGAGACTAGTTTAAGATGATACTCAGATTACTGGTGCTGGCTTAGAAGGGTTCTGCCCAGGCCTGGAGAATGGTGCCCTCTACAGAGGTTGAAAAAAAAAAGAGCCTGGTAATTAATTCACTTCTTTCTTCTTAGTATAACTCAGAGTTGTTGTATGAGCTAAATAATCTGTTATTTCTTTTCTTTTTTTCAAAAAAGACTTGCAGGATGTGATTAAATATTATTTCAGGAAGTTAACAGAAGAATAAAGTGCAAAATAAAAGAGAGATGATAGGAAACAGGGAGATAGCCTTTGTGGAGAGGAGAGGAAATGGGTGGGGGAAGGGGACGTAACATGATGACAGTGTGTTATGTATATGTGCCAGTTCCCCCAAACAAATGCAATTTTCATGTATCGCTAACATATATAAATAAAACATGTGAAAAAAGAGAAGTTAACAGATGCATTTGACCTGTCTTTGTGTTGTGTTTAAGGAGTTGCTGCAGCTGTTCTTTAACTGGAAGCCTATTCTCAGATATTCCATATCAATTGTCTAACAGTTATGTTCTTAGGGTTTATAGTGTAATTTTCAAAAATGATCCCACTTATATACTCGCTGCAATTTCTGTAATTTGGCAAAAGAATAACTTTGTCTCTAGTTATTTTTTATTTAAGAGCATGGATCAAACTGTGCTAGCAAATTCATTCTTGGCTTCTAAGTAGAAAGCAAATATACAGAGTGAAGGCTTATTTAGTGCAAATACCAATGCAAGAGTTAGCCTCTTCTCTCCCTGTAGGACACTGTCCTCCACCCATCCAGGTACCAGGGATTGAACGTAGGGCCTCATACATGCTAAGGAAGTGCTCTATCACTGAGCTATATCTCCACCTTCTAATTAATTTTATTTTGAGAGAGACTCTAAGTTGTGGAGGCAGGCCTTGAATTACAGTCCTCTTATCTCAGCTTCTTGAATAGGTGGGATTATAGGCAGGCACCACTGTGCCCACTAGGAGTTCTATTGATTGAAAAGGACCAGTAACGCTGGTAACTTTTCAGCCTGAATTTATTGAAAGATTTCTAGCTGCTGTGAAAAATAAGGATGGATCAGGTATTAATCCATCCTCTAGGAGTATATAGGCAGGATAACTTTTGTCATTCCCTGCACGGTCACATACTTTGTACAAAGTAACCTCACCTGGTTATTTGAAAAAAAAAAAAAAAGCCTAGATTGTTGGTCAAATCTATTCAAAGAGAGTTTTTTTGAAATGGAATATTATCCTCATCAGCACTTCAAGTAATATTAACCAAAGGCCAATACTTTTTTCAGAATAGGGTCATTAACTCAGCTCTAAGGCTATGAAAATTACAGTTACTGATGTGCTACAGTTTGACAGTGTTATCACTTGGCTGGTCTCCCATCAACTTGTCTTCTTCCCATATCTGTCTACATGTTATGTTCCTTTGGGTCCTATCCATACCCATGGCTGCATGGCTATTTTGTCCCACCATCACATATGTCTGTAACTTTTCTTGCTATTTCTTTTCCTTCTGGCTGGCTCACTCTGCTCAGCAATCTTCATATTGCTTATCCCCCAAAATATCTTCTTTACTATTTATTTATTTTTTGGTTTTTTGATTCAGGGTCTCACTATGTAGTTCAGACTGCCCTGGAACTCACTGTGTAGCCCAGGTTGGTCTTGAACTCACAGCGATCCTCCTGTCTCAGCCTCCCGAGTGCTGGGATTACAGGTGTGCACCACCACGCCCAGCCTTCTTTACTATTTCTAATCAGAGCAAAATATCTGTATTTGTCAATACAGAAATATGTTTGCATTGACTTGCAATTTGAGTTATGGTTTGATGGAATGGGATCTGCTACTTGAAGGCCAATTTTTTTGCCCTCAAGCCAAAGGATGAATTAATTCTATTGACAAACACATTCTGGTCATCATAGATTATGTCTTTGGTATAGTTGCTGTATTTTTTTCTTGGTTGAAGCTGAGGCAGGTGTTTTTTGCCTTTCAAGTAGACAATCAAGTGAGGCTCTGTTTGCAGGACTAAAAGGTCTTCATCTCAAAATCTGAAGGCAGAATGGGTTTGATGCCAGTTCTTTCTGAAAAAGAAAGCTGTGCATTCAGCATCTGAGCCCTTCTTAGAGGGATGACTTTTCAGGAAGCCTGCAGTGTGCCTGCCTCCTTTTCATCCCTGTGTTTTCTAAATGCACACAACAAAGCCAGCCTTCAACTAAAGCTGTCTATTAAATATAATGGGAGAGTTTTAGACATCCCTGTCAACTGGAAAAAAGTCAAGGAGAGGCAAGACAAGATGGAGAGAGGGATGGGATCATATTATGACAGCATTATGTAGGGCAGTATATCAAGCAACTCCTACCACGAGGTACAGCACAGCGAAAAGATATGCCATCCATAAAATGATTATTAGCTTTTCCTATCCTATCTTATCCCATCCTGTTGTGTTCTTTATTCCATCTCATTAATATGGTGGTTGCAAACCATTAAAATGATTTAAGAACCAAACAATGAATCGCAGCTCACAGTGCACCAGCTGAAAGAGGATTGGTGGAGTAAATGAGTGCCTCGGGTAGCAATGCTGAACAGAGACAGAGGCGTTCCCTTAGTTTTCTGATATGAGTAAAACATCTCTGGTCAGCAACATCCCTGCACCTAAATTAGTATCTTGTTCAGTAGTTTACTACCTTCTAAACAGTGATACATGAGAAATAACATTCACAAAATTACTATGCTTAACTCCTCACCTGTGCTATTGACCCAGAATTTCATTTTCCCTGTAAGTATAGACCTGAGATAATTTGCAGATAATATTGGAAGAATTGAATGATATGCCCTAGGGCAGTAGTTCCTAAACTTTGCTATACATCTGGATAGTATGGAAACCCAAGGTCTGAGGGTGGCAGACAGATATCAGTACTTTAAAACTATCCCCAGTGAGTGATTCCAATGTGCGGCTGAGTTTGGGAAAAACTGGCCTACTGCTAGGCATTTCAAAATTCTGAGTTTGAGCCAAACATCCTGCAGAGCTTCTGGGGAGCTTGTCAGAATGTATATTCCCCAGTTCTTAAAACTTCAGTGTCTTAAATTTCCTAGGCTGCCAGGGAACCTACAATTTACATAGGTACCCTTGATAATTCAGTAATTATGATCTGTGGTCACACTTTGAGAAACACCAAGGTGGACAGATTTAAACTCATAAAACAGAACTGTGGGTAAACTTCAAACACTGGAGACTGTCCATCTGTGGTATTAACTCAAGGAGGTTAGTACTGCCTTACACTGTCTTTCCTGTGCAGAGCAAGTGCACATAGGTGAATCAAGTTTCACTCACAAGATGACATTCTGTCTGTTCTGGGCTCATCATGTGAGACTATAGGGGTAACTGACTCAGCCTCTGAAAGTTCAGCCAACAGGAAAAGCTGGCACATCTGTGAATTCCACTGTCTCCTTGGCCATTTTCCTGTAACACAGAACAGTTGGAGATTTCAAGACTAAGGAGCCCCACAGCCACAGAAGGCATCAGAAAAACCCCTGGTAGGCCTCAGGGTAGAAATGTTATAGAGTTCAATTGATTTTACTTAAGGAGAGAAGAGAAGATCACCAATGAAATGTTCTATCTATGCCAGAAACTCAAATAGAGCTTTCAGCCAGTGCATCTAAAGTCAGAACTTGTAACTGAACAACCACTTGACAGCTGGGGGATTGCTTGGCTGCACTGATGTCTATGAACCATAAAAATCACTGAATTCCAGTGGTGCCCCATCACTCCTTTAGTGATAGAACAAGTTCATGAAATGTTAAGATTACCAGGGTTTAGGCGGCCAGGGATTTAGCTCAGTGGCACTGCATCTGCCTTGCAAGTGCAAGGTCCTGAGTTCGATCCCCCATACCAAAAAAAGATTATGAGGGTTTAACAAAAGTAAAGTGTGTTTTATCTCTAAATTTACTGTCTTTTGACCACTCTTAAAAATTATCAGGCACAGAAGGAAACTACTCTAGAGAGATGGAAATGTAATGTGGAGATATGAAGTTTAGCTGTACATATTTTTAAATATATGTGTGCTTATCTCTTAAAATAATTAATGTAAGTAAAGATTTACAGTGACTTTTACTGATCCCTGAGGACAAGGATCATACCCACTCTTGCTTACACCAGTAGTTGTATTCCCAGTGCCCAGCATAGTGCCTGGCATTCAGTAAAGCTTTATTTAATGGAGCAAATGCATAATACACTTAGCATCATTTTGCTAATATTTCTTTCAGAGGGATATATATCTATATCTATATCTATATCTATATCTATATCTATATTCCCATTATCCATCTTTGTGCTTCTGGTTAAGTAATTATGAAAGAATGATTTTTTTCTCTTGGCGCCTACGAAATATGAGATACAATTATTTTATTCAGGCTGATACTATAATACAAGCACTTAACTAAGGTCATCATTTGATTTAGCAAAGATCTAGAATTGTGCACCTGACATGGAATGAGTGACTTTTTCCAGGGCATTGAGATGATTAGACTTTTCCACAACAATTTCTCTGATAAGCAAAATAACAGAGACTAATATTGCAACCCCTCTGATAAATCACTGGTAACAGCAATTCAAGGGCTTTATCTGAGATTCAATTGTTATATTTCTATTTTTATATAAACAAAAATTTTTTATTTTTAATTTGAACCTGTAACATCAAGGTGTAAGCCTTCTCTGAAGCAGGAGGGAGAAGAGGGTGGAGAGATACTCAATTGCTTTAAGCCCATTGTTTCCCTGCATGTGATCTAGTGACCATCTGCGTGGTCACTGGAATTTGTTAAATACACTGTTTCCTGGACTCTATTCCTGACCTCCTGAATTGGATTCTCTAAGAGTAACATCTGGAGATCTGCATTTTTAACTTTAACTAATGACTGGCATTAACAATACCTAATGCACACCGAAGCTTATGAATACATCTCCTTACAGGTGATTTTATGTAAGGGAGTCAAGTGATGAGGTTTTTGTGCCTGCAGCATTGCCCTACCCGATTAATTTACCTGTTCTCTCTGCTCTCAGGCAGGAGCAGGTGCCCTGTCCCTGGACTCAGGGCATCTGCCAAATAGTTTCCACCATCCCTGAACTTCCTACTCTTCCCAGAAACCCTGGCATAGGCATGGGGCAGCCAGGGAGTGGCAGAGGCAAGTGCCCAACTGGGAGAACTTGGAAACAGACCGGTGTTCAGACTGTGAGTCAGCCCACTCTGAGTTCAGTGAGTCAGCACTGACCTGGACAGAGGGTGTGGGCGCTAGGGCAGCCGGGAAGGACCCAGCCTCTGAAGCCTCCCTCCCTGCTTAGAGGATCATGGCTTGGAACCTTCGCTCTGCTGCCTAAAACACAAAAGTTATACTCTTGTGCCCACTACCCCTTTTCCTGTCTTGAGAAAACATCAGGAATTAAAAAAGCACTGGGGATTTTTTACACAGGTAACCAGGGATGGTCTCACAGGGTTCTTGAAAAGGCTTAGGCCTCATCAGATTTCCCCCAGTGCTCTTCCTCTTCAGCCAGACCAAACAAACCAACCAGAAAATTTGTCAGATCATTGGTTATGTCTAGAGTGGCTCTAATTCAACTCTTCTGGCCAGACTGCTGTGGAAAGCCCCGCTTTATAATTCTGGAGCAACTGGCGAAGCTAAGGTTTTGAATCTACTCTTTCTTAATTGTTGCTACTTGTTAGTAATAAGTTAGTGGTTGCCAAAGCCTTTACTCTAGGAGTGAGAAAAGGGCTTTAAAAAATAAGCATCCCAGTGATGACACGTCTGTAATCCCAGCACTCTGGGAGGCTGAGGCAGAAGGAGTCCAAGTTTGAACAGCCTGGGCAACTTAGTAACTGAGTGAGACCCTCTCTCAAAATAAAAAGATAAAAAGGGGCTGGAGAAGTGAAAAGGTTTTGGGTTCTATCCCCAGTGCTGCAACAAACAAACATACAAACACTTATAAATGATCCAGTACCTCTCCAACTTCACTGTACACAAAATGACAAGGAAGCATATTTTAATGCAGCTGCCTGGGCTCTACACCAGAGATTCTGATACAGCAGATCTGAAGTGGGGCTAAGGAATATGCATTTAAAATAAATAACTCAAGTTATTCAAGATGTAGAGGCCTGTGGGTCTGTGGATCACACCATAGAGACGCACGAGCTTAAACCATGTCAGGGAGTGAACACTCATTTTCAGATTCTTTTGGAGCGGGGTGGGACTTCCTGGTTTGGAGAGAGAGGCATACCGATATTCCAGATGCCTTTGGAAGGGAAAAAGCCTGGATGCTGGATGTAAGTGCATGCAGACATCTGCTGAGTTTGTTGAGGAGGAGCTCTCTACATCATGAAAAGTGTACTCAGGAGAATGAAATCATGTCATTCTCCTGCCTCTCTTCCTATTTGCCCCTCAGCCCTCTCAACCATGTCTGGCCAAAGGCCCCTAAGGCCTCTTGATTGCCAGCTGTCCTCCCCATATGCTTTTTTTTTTTTTTTTTTTTTTTTT